AATAAGACTGTGAATATTGTCTACACCCTTTTTCTATACTCTCACCAACATTCATACCTGTTATGCTCGATGAAAGTGTTCAATTTATTTTATTAGCAACAAGAACAAAGATGAAAGAAAAATAATCATAATCAAATCATATGAATGGTATCACTTGCGTACGTAACTTTTGTTACCACCTGGAGTCATATGGTATTGTCCACCACGTGATCCTTCATAAATAGCTCGACCATTTGCAGCACCTCTCGTAGCCATAAATTCACCCGTAAATCGACCGCCATGTGCACTTCCTATGCGGGAGCCACCAGATCCCATTGTTTGAAATGGCATTTCCATGCCAGAACTCATTGGTGAAAAGGGCATACCCATACCAGAACTCATGGGTGAAAAGGGCATGCCCATGCTGCCATTCATTGGTGACATACCCCCTCCTAATCCTGAAGACTGAAGTGCGCGAATCAGTGAATTAATATTATTGCCGTCACCATCATTATTTCTTCTTTGAGACTGTCGAGCTGAATCTAATTCGCGCTTTAACTAGAATTGAAGTATCAATGAATAAAAAATCGTTTTTCTTTCTTATACATACTTCTCCTTCACGTTGTTCAGCTTTTTGTTGTTCTTCTTCTCGAACCTTTAATTAAAAAACATACGTATAAATAGTACAATGCTTTTGAAAAATCAACTTACTTTTCGCATTTTTTCTTCGCTTTTTTTTCTTTCTTCTTCTCTTGTCTAAGAATATATGAACAGTATGAAATACTAATATAAAAGAAAAGATTTAGGTACTCGTGCTACTACAGCATCTTCTTCAGCTTTTTTTTGTCGACGTTCGTTTTCTTCTTTTTTTCTCTTTTCTTCTTGTCGTTTTCTTTCAATGCGTTGATATTCATCATTCGTATAATAACTTCCATTATTATTTCTTATCATTCTATCAATAATTTCAATTAATTGATTAGTTTTTCTTTCCAATGGTTGCCCACTTAATTTATTATTTATACCAAATCTTCGATTATCGCAAGCTTGAACCAAATCGCGTAATGCCGGTGATGTATTAACAAACTCATCTAGATTTTGTCCTTCCTCAAGTTGATCTTCACCAGTAATGACCACAATGCAATATTTAATTGCATCCGGACCAAAAATATGTCGAATAAAATCGACTGTATTTTTTTCTTCAGGTGTAAACCGGCCAACACGGGTGATGATCAAAAAAGCATGAACACCTGGTGTCGTCATTTCGAAAATTTGAGATGCAATTTTTTTTTCAACCGCTTCATTAGTAATCGCTGTATTTGTATCAAAAAAACCTGGCGTATCAACAACAGTAAGAGTTTTTTGTTGACCATAAGTATCTGTATGTTGATATCGTCCAGGCTTACAATCTTTTGTAATTGATTGACCAGATTGTGTAGCATGAAAAGCACTTCGGGAATGTAATAATGAATTGCCAGTGGAACTTTTTCCTGAACATAAAAACAAGGAATTTTAATCGTACGAATACGACTCAAATGAGTAATACTAACCATTGCCTGTTCTTCCAATTAGAACAACACGCATTTCATTTTGTGAAGATGTCTAAAGATTTAAATTTAAAATTTCTTAATAAAACATATCGTTTAGTTCTTACCATCTTGAATTTATGTAATTATATGTGAACGAATGTGGCAAATTATTTCTTACTACTCTTTATATATAAATGGAAGAATGAAAAAAA